GTACCAAGACACCAACTTACAAAGAACCAATAACTACTAAGTGTTGCTAAGGTAGAGGAACAAATCAGTGGGTCATCACCAAATCAATAGGTGACCCAACAGTTCTCTCAACTCTCGATCGTTTCTCCGGTACATCAGAGCCATCAGGGAGACTCAGGTCATGCTCCTGTTTCCTGGCATACTCAACTGCTTTGGTAAATGATGGTACGTCGCGATTGGTGACGAATTCGCGAATATTCTGTCGAAGACCGTTGACGAAATGATTAATCTTGTCCTTTTCACTTGGTACGAACCGTTGGGCAAACTGCAGCTTCCGATTGAACTCTGTTTCATATTCAATCACCGACATGAATCCHTGTTTGAGCTCTAGGAATTCCTTCTCAAGCTTTTGTTTCAAATCATCCAGACAATATTGCTCGAAGAACAACACTTGAAACTCTTCCCATGTCGTTATATCCCTAGAATTAGGATCCATTGATCGATATGTGGCGTTCCACCAAGTGAGTGCAGGATCGGTAAATGTCGCTGTAGCATAACGTACTTTATCCTCCTCCTGTACGTAAACAATCCTAAATACTTTTTCAGTGTTCTCGACCCATTGCATTGCAAGTACTGGGTCTGTCTGTCCCGAGAACTCTGTAGCGCCACTACTTTTAAATATTTTAAATGAAGGTCGGTCCGACCTTGGTTTGGGTACGTCTTCATTAACCGGCTTCGGTCCTTGGACAACCGGAATCTGAGCATTAACTGGATTTTGCACTTCAGATAACTTTCTTTCAAACTCTATTCTTTGTTCTTTGTAGAGCAGCCCGTGTTTGATCATTCATTATTTTCAATAACCTCTCAGTACGAGGTGATAGTTGGGCTTCATCATCATTGTCCACATTTTCTTGGACATTCCCTTCTAAGTTGAGGTTGTCATCCCCAATTTCTTGAGAAACCGACCCGTTGCTAGCTGCATCGTGATCAGACATCGTACTGAAATTATAATACATAAATATAGGGGTCAAATAATATTCTAACTCTTGTACCCCAACAAATCCTAGGTTTCTCCTATTGGTCTATATCTCATATAATCATAACTTAGTCACTATACAATGTCAATACCTAAGTTTGAGTCTGAATATCATTAATGATATCCAATTCACTCAAACCACAGCTCTGATACCATATTTGTAACATATCCCTTGAGCAAACTCCAAATTGCCAATTCCTATAAAAAATATCCAATAAAATATAATTTACTGATTATTAGGACCAAAATTGATCCTAAATTATTCTAAAAGTTTTGACAAAGCAACCGGGGCTAATGATGGAAAATCTGATAATGCNATAATTTACTGATTATTAGGACCAAAATTGATCCTAAATTATTCTAAAAGTTTTGACAAAGCAACCGGGGCTAATGATGGAAAATCTGATAATGCGGCTAAAAAAAAACTAAGTCTGGAGGAAGACCAGAGGCAATGGTTGGACCAGAGGCAATGATCCAGAGGCTGCTGAAATGGCTAAGTCTGGAAGACCAGAGGCCATGAAGGACCAGAGGTGAGACTATGAAGGACCAGAGGCAATGGTTGGACCAGAGGCAATGAAGGACCATAGGCATGAAGGACCAGAGGCCATGAAGGACCAGAGGCATGAAGGACCAGAGGCATGAAGGACCAGAGCCATGAAGGACCAGAGGCATGAAGGACCAGAGGCATGAAGGACCAGAGGCAATGGTTCAGAGACCATTCAATGGTCCAGAGACTAACACCTTGAAACACACAAATCTGGACATAACATTAATTAACCTCAAAATATGGGATATTAATTTCTAGAAAAACATCGAAATATCCATTCTATTTTAGTGATAAAACCAYCCAAAACACAATTCCAAATCGGATATAACGGATTTTTTTTACTTACAATCCAAATTATGTAACCAAAAGAATACATGACAAGACTATATATAAATAAGCTACTATTTACCCAAAAGCAAGATCGATATCTTCAAGTTCCCTGATAAATCTTCAAGTCAAACAACAAAATCTTTCTTTTTGTCCGTCTTCTTTCCTGAGAGAGGTTGCCACTTAATGGTAAGCCAACGCTTAGTGAGTTAAATAGTTAAGTATTACATATCAATATC